ACCGAAACGCTTAGATAAGGGGACGGCACCCACGCTAAAACAAAAGACGGTCGCTTGCGACAGCGTCTTACTAATTTTGCCTGGCGTAGGGGAAGCAACTCCTATCATTTTACGATACAATGTAGCGAATGGGAATTACGGTGAGCATTGTATCATTTTCAGAATATTCAGGTACCCGGTATCTGTTGTTTTAGTTTTGAAGCGGTGAGCAGTGGGCGGCCATATTGCCCTATAATGGAATCCTACTGACCCTATATAGAAAATTAGAGGGTCACCACGTGACAGCTCTAAACCAATGGATTTTGGACATTTTTGTCCGAGGTGCGATAAAATCCAATGACAACACCTATTAGATTCTCTGTCTCATTTGCAGCTTGACATTCAACTTAACCTGCATTTAAATCTCGACTTAAACCTGATTGAACATTCAGTAAATAATATCAATATACTAACTAGGGGAAGTAACCACCTTAGTCATGATCTTAATTCTGATATTTGTGTGCGTGTCCAGAAATATATTGAGTCTACTTACAGACTTTGTTAACTGTTAATTCTACTCCCAATGTGTATGTATACATGTCTATATGAATCCACTTTCAACACGGCTCCTGCTCTGGATTATCAATGACTGGGTAAGCACACAGGGGTGGTGTGTATGGGCTTTTTATTGCTGTCCAGTTATAATTGTTATCTGGAGTAGGAGTGGTGATGGAGGACTAGTTGGTGTTACAAATTATTCAACTAATAATATTTAATATTTACCCTATTGAATGGAGGTTCCAGTATTAATATATGTTGTAAAATTTATAAAATTTGATTATTTACAAATGCAGTTGACACACATGGCTTTCCACTTTGAAACATATTTTTTATATATATACTGGTTACTATGTAAAGAACAAATAACAAAACAAAAACTACTGTATTTGTTTTACCTAAGTAATTTTTAATTGTGCTTAGTTCAGAGATAGATAGAGACCATTAGGCATTAGCACACTAATAGGCTCTCAGAATAAAAAAAACAAAAACAAAAAACATATAGGATCTTGCACGAGTGCTAGATGTCATGATAAATTGATCCAGTGCTTAAATGTCTGTATGCATGTAGTTATGAGTACCTATTCCCCCGGCATGGCTCCTGCTCTGGATCTTCCATGACTGGGTAAGCACACAGTGATTGTACTAGGGACATTTAGTGCTGCCCAGTTATAATTGATATCCGGTTAATATAATATTAAAATTTAACTTATACTGAAAATATTGGCTATTTGTTCTGTTATAAAGTAATTAAAATGCTGTTTCTTGTATATGTGTTAAATGTTGATATTTTCCTTTCATCGTAAGCATATGCATGTTGACCTGGATTATACATATGTGTGTATATGTTTTTATATATATATGTGTGTGTGTACATATCATAACTATTAGTGTGTATTTTTAGTAGCCATCTATTTGAACTATAAATATTTATCAAAAAAGTACTATTTAATGTTCCAAGCCAGTGCTAATATGTTAATGTCTAAATCATATTTCTGTTATTGTTTGAAATGTATGTAACCAGAGAGAGAGGGCTTGTATAGGCATAGCATGTTGCCCAAATCCCATTGAATCACTTGATTTAATAAAATATTTTGAAATAAAAAATAAAAAAAATACTTCTTGGGTGAAATATGTCCAGTAGTACCACCTGGTAGTTGACTCTTTATAATTTCGGTACATGATGACAATGTATTTCCATAAAAAGAAAAAAAGAAAAATGACAGTATCAACAAACAAGAACATAATTACAGCTCGATTAACAAATCAACAGACGCCAAAGTTAAACAATAGAGATATGGAGCTTTACCAAACATTTGGAGATGAATGCCCAATCTCTGGGTGGTAGGGGATCCCTGCTACAGACGTTGTGTGGAATGGTAAACATAACAAACAGACAGACAGATGACTGCACCTTAAACATCGGTAACACATACATACTGCTAAATATAAATTACACTGTATCAACGGCAGTCTTCGGGGACTAAGAAATCCACCTGCACAATCTACCAATGAAAAAAGGAAATGAAATCATATTGACGTGAGTCAAGTCATTTTTGAAAGAGTTTAGTACAGTAAAGCTGAGTGTAAGATTGAAGAAAATAGATAATCTATAAACGATGTTGCTCCCCATGCACAGATGCTCTTATTTAATATGTTTCGTACTACAGAATCATTACAAAGCAATATTCTTAACTTGATTAAGAACGACCTGGTTACAATTCATTTATAACCTAGCTGTAAATAATGTATATAGCTGTGAATACTGTTTTTCATGTCGCTTTTTCAGTTTTGGGATGTTATAAATATTATGCGCGTTAAGCCTTACACATTAATTAATGTTTGTTGACATTTACATTGCAAAACCAAACGAATACACAATTAAGAATGCTATTCCATCAACTATTGGACGAAACTGATTCCAGGTAAGTATCAGAATTATTTAGAGTTTGGTTGTATTCGATTTATATATGGTAACTACATTTAATTACACTTGTTACAACCATAAACTTATATTAAACATCACACTATCTGTCGAACGGCTTATATTTGTTGATGTACTGGTGCACTCATAGTAAAAATGTGTTTTTATCCATTTATCACCGGAATAAGAAGTTGAGAATGAACATAACCCAAAAAAACGGTTGCAAAAACCAGTCCTGTATTTTTTTGTCATTTAATAAAAAGGTTTTACCGTATCTCTGTGTTAATTGAATCCGGAGTTTATGAGACTTTACATCTCACAGTTCAGTTATTACACAATAATCTGGTTGTTCGGGAAAGATTTGTGCTGTTGACAAATTATTTTTGTATCCAATGTTTCCTACTGAAGATGCTTCATTTTACGCTCTCAGATGTGCATTTCTTTCGATTGATTGTACATTGTATTTGGATGTTTTTAAATAGATCCGATATTTTCAATGCATAAAATATCCAAAAGCAATGTTATAATGTAACCTTTAACACCTAGCATAATGTCATATATGATCACTGTTAAAATACTACAAAAATATATACAAAACATTTCTAACATCATTGAAAAAAATATTAGTTCAACAGAAAACTATTATTCAACAAGTTTTCCCAATTAATATTAATAACTTTTATTGATCCGGATGGAAGCCAGCGGTCTAAATGATGGCGGACACCGGAGAACCCGAAGTCGAAGACAAACCACGTAAGGGGATTGAATCTGTTAATTTATTTAAAAACAATCGTTCATTTTCCCCCTAAAATAACCTTCTTGTGACTATTTGTATGTTATACACTCTTAATCATCAGGATGCATATTATAAGTTGATTTCAGCCTAGTAACTGAAGAAAACCACCTTCACATTCAATAAAACTTGTTGAACGAAAATAAAGTAGAAATTGAGATTAAAATATACGCCTTGTCATGTGCATTTCCCAACTTTTATGAATTTTGTTTTTCTTAACATGTTAAATTGGTGCTTTATGTTGACAATAAAGATATACATTTTTGGGCAATATTATTGTTTGTGATCTCTTTATTTGTATGAAACCATACACAGACAATTATAAAGCATGTAACGCTATTTTCTATGTCTCATATTCCATCCAGTATACACAAAACAACTTTGGAGAATTTGTATCAGCGTTTTCGGGACCTAAAGGTTCATAA